GGGGCCGGAGGGGGGCCCGCTGGGGGTGTGGCGGTGGCAGCCGCCGCCCCAGTCACCCCGGGCCGAAGCGCTCGCAGAGTGCCCCTTCCGCTGGTGCCCACTCCAGGCTGCAGCCGCTGGGCTCGCAAGGTCTCCATCCTGGCCGCCAGCGGAGTAGCGGCCCGGAGCCTGCCAGCCCGGCGAGCTAACGGTCCCAGCCACCCCCGCCAGCGAGCGCCCAGGGACTGAAGGAGCTGCCGGAGCCCAGCCGTCAGTCAAGCGGGGGCGGGGACCATACAGGTCCTATGCCAATCACCGGAGAGGGGGCGGGAGCTGGCCTGCTGCAGTTCCGCCATAGGCCAGTTATTGAGGAGGGCGGAGGTTCTGAACAACCAATTGCAAAGAGAAAAAAGTGATAACCCTCCACAGAGCGGAAGCTTAGGTTGGGCGAGTCTTTGGGAGTCTGGAGAGTGCTAGAAAGCGGGCCAGACCCCTGGGGCGAGGTTTGGGGTCAAAAGATAGGCCTACGTGCAAGGCTGAGGGGAACTGTAGACCGGATGAGAGGATTCTCAGAGAGCCTTTGTCCCCGACCATTGCATTACATAAATATAGATGAGGAAGCTGGTTCAGAGAAGTGATGTGACTTGTCCAAGATCACATGCAATCGGTGGTGGAGCTAAAGCAAGGAAAGATACTGACATTTAATGAGCATATACTTACTATATATCAGACACTAAACAATATACTATAGTGCAGTTTAATTTAATAATCACAATCACTAACTAGATTTTCTTATTTTACAGATAAGGAAGCTGACTGAAAGGCTAGAAAAATTGCCCAAAATTAAACAGTCAGAAGATGGTAAAGGGGATTCAGACATAAATCTGATTCCCAACAGTTTTATTTTTTTCATTATACCACATCATTGGGTAATTTTCTGATTTCATATATTTTAAACTTGAGAGAGTAAGAAAGAGTAGAATGGGTTGCTCCCCTACCTCTCATTAGAGTAAGAAAGAGTTAGAATATAGGAAGAAAACCAGCAAGCTGAAAGGTCCACAGGGAAGATTAAGACAGGTACGTTTGTTCATCAAACCTGTCAGGCTGGGTTCCTCCAATTACTTCTACACAATTACACACACACACATTACACAGCCTTTGTCAGTTGACAATAATACCATTTTTACCTAGGTGAGGTTATAATAACTAATTCTTTCTCCCTCTGTCTCTCTTTCTCTCTGTCTCCAGATTTCTCTCTTTCTCTCTCTCCATCCTACAGCGGCTCAGAAATCAAAGATGGGGAAACGGAAGGCAGAAGTGGAAGAAAATGGATAAAATACACCTGGTAAGATGACAGTTAAACCCCCAAGGAAAAACTGAGTGGTTAAGAAATAGAAAGCTTGAATATATGTGTCTTCATGTATGACTGAAGCATTATGCTGCATACCAGAAATTGACATAACATTATAAACTGACTATACTTAAATATATGTATATATACACACACACACACATTAAAAAAGAAATAGGAAGCTTGAAAGAGGGACAGTTAACCTACTGGAATATATCTGCTGATGGTGGGAGGGATTCTTTGTAGGAATCTTAAGTAAAGCATTTGAGGATGGACATAGGAGAGAAATAAAAACCTATCAAATGCCTTAAAACCTTCAGGACACAGGACGCGTACCTTTTCTTCTACAACCACAGTTGGTCTGGAAAGAATGTGGCTAGAATCTTGACGTATCCTCTAGATACTTATAGCTGCAGTTAGCATCACCCTCCCTCCCTAATCCTCACTCCCCACACCCCCCACCTCCCGGCAGAAGTGACAAAACAGAGACTTCTGAACACATTTATTTGATATGTCAAGTGGAGAGAGAAGTGATTTAGGGTTACTCCCCACTTCTACCTGTGGGGGTGTTCATAAGCTCTGACAGAAGAGCAGCTTAGAGCCCATGACCAACCCCCTGGGAAAAGGAGACAACCTGTTGTATTGGTTGGGGCAACAGGGTGGGAAGAAAAAGCAGGAAGTTAAGAAGTAAAGCTGAAAGCAGGAAGGGCAGCAGCAGAACTGAGGCTTAGGATTGCTGCAGGAAACCCCTAAGGATAGTAAAGAAGATATCCTGAAAAGTGTTTAGGGCTGGAAGCAGGGTGTGAACAAGAAGCCAGTCCTGGAGAGAGAAGCAAGACCTGCAGATGGGGTGGAGATTCAGAAGAGGGTGGAGTGTCCAAAATTATGAGCGGGCTGTGTTGCAGGGCATACATGGAAAGCAAGGGATTGCTATTGCAGGAGGGTAAAGAGATTTGAGACTACCCCATAAATAGGGGCTCACTACTGCTTTTGAACAAATGCAAGTGAGTTTGGGACCCTTTTGGGGCCCTAGCACAAGTGGCCCTGTGTGTGTCGTGCCTGTGGGTACACAAGTAATTTCCATATGCATGTGAAGTGACCAGGGCATGAATGCATGTCTATATGCCCAATAAATAGAGTACTTACCCTTCCCTGCAAATATGGGTACTGTGCTTGTGGACACATGTTTACCCATGTGTGTGTGCACCGTGCCCATGAGCACATGCAAGAGACCCCTATGTCCGTGGTGTGTGTGTGAGCTGGTTCTCCCATCTGTCCCATCAAGGTCCTGATCCCCACCCTTCTTGGCTCCTCTCACTCCTCTCAGCGGCCGGGCTCCCCAGGCCCGCCTAGACTCTGGAAGCCCCCTAGCAGGCGGATCTGCTCAGTCTGCATGGAGTGGCGCCTCACCAACTTGCGCTTGGTCCTGGGAGAGCCTGGCGCCCCTGCCTGGGGAGGGGCGGGCAGCGAAGGCGCCCGACCTCCGGGTTGGGGGCGAATGTCGGGAATGGGAGGGTGGGGGCTGACATTGAGCGGGGGCAGGAAACCAGGCCGCGTTTGGGCGATGTGGTCCAGGAGCAACGTCCCCGAGCCCCTCCGCTCCAGCAGCCCTGGACTCCGCCTCCGCCCGCTGAGTGGAGACACAGCCCCAGGCAGACTCTCTTGGGACTGGCGCGGGGAGGGAGCCGAGCCGGCTGGTGGGAGGCTCAGCGGGGAGGCGCTGTATCGGCGGCGCTCCAGGGACAAGCGGCTGCACTCCGGCGAGTCGGGGCAAAGATTTCCGGGGGTATCGAGCTCCACAGGCTCCATGCGGCTCAGTTTCTGTCTCAGCCCGGAAGGAGGGCCAGACTCCTGAGCTTCTGGCGCGGTGTTTCGGCGCGAGAGAGGACCCCCACCCGTCACTTTCTCCGCCCACGGGGGCGGGTCCTCTGGGCCTTCAGTGCTGTGACGTCTGGAAAGACGCGGTCGACCTGTCAGGGTCAGGCCGTTGAATTCGGCGGTCAGGCGCTCGATCCCCGGCCTCCCTTCGGCGGGTGGGACCGGTTGAGGAGGCGCCACTAGGCCCCAGGGCTCGGAGTTGAGCCTTTTGAGTGGTTTTGGAGGATGACGGGGTGGTTTGGGGAGTGGCTCAGAAGGGGAGGGGTCATCGGGGGGTTTAGGAAGAGGGAATTCAAATACGTCCCGCTTCTCCTCTTCTTCCTGGGCGCGAGGGGATAACAACCCCCGTCCTCCTCCTCCTGCGGTCTGCAGCTGGATTTCCGAAGGCGACGTGCAGACCCCTGGGCTAGGAGGAGCGGGAGCTGGGTCCTCTACCCCCGGGGACGGTGGGGAATTGAGATACTGCCGGGTCTTCTTGGTGCCCGAGGGCGAGGTGTCGGTGGTGATGATGATGACCTCCGTGCCTTTGGCCTTACAGGCGTCCAGCAGCGTGGCAAGGGTCTCGCGATCCCCGCGGTCCAGGGCGTGGACAAGCGCCGAGGCGCCCGCGTGATCTCGGACTGAGGGGTCTGCGCCATGGGCAAGAAGCAGAGAGGCCACGGCGGCGCCCCCACCGCCCGCGCAAGCGTGCATGAGGGCCGTGCGTCCTAGGCGATCTGCGATGTTGGGGTCCGCGCCTTGCTCCAGGAGGTAGCGTACCATGCGCGCCTTGTTCTGGGGGTCGTCGTAGCGGGCCCGACAGGCTGCCATTAGCGCAGTCTCCCCTTGGGCATCACCCTCATTCACGTAGGCGCCCCCCTCCAGAAGCAAACGGGCCAAGCGTAGCTTACCCTGACCCACGGCCCGAAGAAGAGCGTGGCCCTCGGTGTGCAGCATAGCTGCCGCTGGGCGGAAGCACCGATGGAGCCGGGACTAGGACCTGTCAAGGGTGGCTAGGGGTGTGGGGGTGGTGGCTGGCAGAGGTCTGAGGGCTCAGTGACGAAGCCAGTCCCTGCAAAAAAAGAGAAAGATCTTATTGACTGATTTAGGCAGGGAAACTGAGGCACAGGTAGAAGGACCCGCGTGGGGCGGGGGAGATCTTCACGGCACGGCACACAGTCCTTCTAACTCATGCCTTTGAGCCACCCCCATCCCCCCAGCGCATGCCTGAGGAGGTGGGAAGGGTGCACCCGCATTGAAGGATGAGCGCGCGTGCAAATGCGTACGTGCACGCGCAGGAATATCCGCACCCCCACCCTCACCCCACGGCTTATCAGACCTTTCCAGCATTCCCCTTTTCTTATCCGCACTTGGAATCCCCCTTTCTAGGATGCTGAACACCACCCACCCACACACATGCACCCATACATTCACACACATATTCCCATTCCTAACCTCTTTTAGGTTGCCACAGCCCCATAATTTGAATGGGGGGAGGGAGGCAGCTTGCGTTTGGGACCTAAAACGGGTGGGGGATAATTGGGGGATTCTTTTGCCCCGGCTACGTTCGCATCACTCCTTGCTCTTTCCCCTCCCAGACTGTGCACCCAAATAGATACCTGTCTGTCCGCAGAATCTCCGCCGGGCCAGCACTGAGGCCAGGGCCACTGGATAGCTGGGGTGGCGGAGCCCGGTTCCTGGGGGCCCACATGGCGTGAGGGGGGGCACCCGGATTCCCTTGGTGTCAGTATCTGCGCCTGGGCACAGAATCCTGGTCCCTCCTCCCGGTGCGCCCCGGGCACAGCGCCGGCTCGGGAGGAGAGAGGCTGGCTGGGGGGGGGGGGCGGAGCTCTGCCTCGCTATTTATAGCCTAGTCTCTGCGGGTGGGGGCGTCGGGTACCAAACCGTTACCCCACCCATGCACACATAAACCCTCAAAAGCTAGAGGCTCCAATCCTGACTTCCCTGGTTTAGCCGACCTCCCCTCAGCCACAACAAACCTAAATGTTCCTTAGGAGACTCCTCCGCGACCCGGACTGGGACCATCCCAATTCTTCCTTGAGCATCTGCAATCTGCAGATCCTCATTCTCCGAGCATGGTGTGTTGAAGCGCGCCTGTGCGCCAGAACTGACCTGCCACACACGGCACATGGCACCCAGTGCAGAGAGGTGGAGAGAGGCGATGGGGATCCATAGCCGTGGTCCTTACTGTGCAGAGAGAAGCAAGCGATCCGGCTGCCTTCTCGTAGTTTAAATGTCAGCGGGAGCTGGAGTCAGACACAGCGACACATCTTCATTCTACCTTCCCCAAAACGAAGCATGCAGCACAGATAAACTTGGACCTCAGCTCCCTTGTGCAGACCTCTTAGATAAGTATGAGGAGGTTGGATATCTGGGATCATTTTTAGATACAGCAAAGGGCATTCCCGGATGCCGCCTCCCCATATTCTTGGAGGAGGGGTGGGAAGAGAGATGGAAAAGGAGTAGAGAAGAGTGAACCTTGTAATACATCCTCTCTCACTGCATCTCTTAACTCTCAGTGTTGCCTGGATTCGTTATTTTTCCATTTTGCTTGAAGGCCTCGGTTCGAATTGCTCCTTCAAGTCTTTCTCCCTGTCTGTAGCAGTCGGTTTCTCTGTCTGTCTCTGCCTCTCCTCACCACCTGCCCTGTCTCCATGGTTACCATAGCTTCCATCTGCATATTTTAGGAAAGAGTTTGTGTCCAGCTGGAAAGCATCAGGGGAAGTAGAGGGTGCAGAAAAAAATCTTAAGGATGTGGAAAACTCACTTGAGGTACTTTAGAGGCTGGAGGCCACCAGACACAAGATACTAAAAACAACGTTCCCGGAGAAGGGAGAGAGAGACGTATTGGCAGGGAAGCTACCCATTTTTCACTAGCTACCATTTATTGGACACCAACTATGTGCCAAGTACTTTACATACATTACATCCAATTCTCACAACAATGCTATAAGGTAGGAACTATCTTATAGATGAAGAGACTGAGAGTAAAGTTAAGCAAGTTCTCCGAGGCCTCACAGCCCTGTTTCTGTCCTATTCCAATGACTGGGTGCTTGCCACTCTACTTACAACCTCCCAATCCAGAGGCTTCACTCCCAGGGCCATTTTCCCTGACATTTGGGTTATTCCTCTTGATTAACTCCTAGGTCTGTTTCTACTCTGAATGCTTTCCCTCTGTTTCTGCTTTTTTGTGAAAGTGGGACTCCTCCTCCCACTATGCCCTCTTTCACCAAAGACTAGGAGGAACTGGAAGGCAGTGGAAAATGGAGGAAACACCGGGCTCCAGCCCTGCCTCCCCAGCTCTGGCTTTCTGACTCCTAATCCTTCCTTCCCCAAACTTTCTTTCCATCTCACAGACATGGCAGCAACCCACAGGACTTTTTTTTTTTTTTAATAAGTATTCATTGGTAGTGTTGGAGAGAAGCAGTGATGTAGGATTGAAGGCAAGATTGGAGTAATGTTGGAGTAATAGAGGAGAGGCCAGGCTGTGAAGACAGACTCACACAAAGACTGACCCCTAAAGAGCAGGTTTCATGGGGGTTCATTTCTCTGCGGAAGCGCTCTCGACAGAGTCCCCTGGTGAAGTCTGAGTGTCAAGTTCCCTCTGTGAACTCTTGCTAGCTAGCGGGGTCCTCCATCTGAGATGAGGTCTGAAAAGACTGACCCCCGGTTGATTCTGCAACCCCATCTCTCTCCTCGCCCGGCTTCCCAAGCCTGAGTTTCGGCTAATTCTCTCGGTTGCTCCTTCCCCTCCCCGGCTTCAAGTGGGCGGACCTCCCTCCTTGGCTTCTCCTAGATTGGCTGGGAGAACTCACCAATGGGGAGCTCTGGGAGGCGGGCCTAGAACGCCACCAGCTTGAGGAAGACAGCGAATTTCAAGTTGGCTGCGGCGTGTGCTCCGCGTGGGGGAGGGGCAGCAGGTAAGGCTCCGACCTGGTGGCTCTGATCTGGTTCCGTCCCACACTTCCCGAGCTAGTTCACCAGGGCCAAGCTGCTGGGTGCACAGACAACGCTTTTCGGCAGCCTGTTGGATCAGCCTCTTTCTAGTTGCCTACGCTTTTCCTCTGGTCTCCCATTGCTGTGTTGTTTGTATACTGGAGAACCGTAGTTTTCTTTCGCGCATAGGGGTGTTATATTAAAGGAGAAAGTGAAAGAATCACTCTGGTACCTCTGACTCTTTGTTATGGCATCAGCTTCCCCTGAATCTATAAATATTATTCCCCTAAAAGGCTGACAAACTCCGGTTATATATCAAGACTCTGATGAAGTATTACCTCCTACCTGTAGCTTTCCTGGACCACCTTTTTTTTTTTTTTTTGCAGAATTAATTGTTCCCCAGTCTGTCGATAGCTTTTATGCCTACTTCTATTAGAACCCTTAGTGCCCGCTCCATCTTTAATGTTTCTATTCTTCTTATAAAATTTTGTAGGGCAGGTTCTAGTACTTAATAACAGTGTCCAATAAAGGTTAATTGAATGGAATTGATTGGGGAGTAAGAATTTAAACTCCTAATGTAATTGGGGAACAATCAATAAAAGACAAAATGAAATGCAATACAGCATCTAATTATGATCTCTTAAATTAGTGGTTCGTAATATAATTGTTCCCACAGTCCAGAAAAGGAAGAAAGCTAAGAGGACTGGGATGGTGAGGGGAGGCTTCAGGAATCAGAGGATCTCAAGTTTGGAACAGCCCTTAGAAATCATGTATTCCTTCCTTCCTTCTTTCGGCAAATATTTATTGAGCATCTACTGTATGCCAGACACAATGCTAGACAATGGGGATCATAGCGAAGCCTCTACTATAGACATGCATCCTTCCTCTCATAAAATATATTTAGTAAATTGTTATCCTAGCTTCAGTTTAAACTTCTTCAGTAAGAGAACTCCCTATCTCACTTTGCAGGTCATGTCATTTTTGGATATTTGTCCTTCAATCAATATCCAACAAATAAAACAAAAAATCTATGGCTCAAGAAAATGCATTCTACATTTCCATTGTAAAAGAGAGCTATCCTAGTGGTAACATTCTTGATAAAGAAAACCATCCCTTTTGTTTTCTGATTATAGAAGTAATATGCATTTATTCTAGAAAATTTGGAAATCTATAAAGGTATAAAATACCTATTTCATGACCATTATGTGATAATAATTACTGTTTAATATGTGTCCTCCCAATTCCTTTTCTGCATGTATGTGTGTGTGTACGTATTACACAAATAGAGCCATACAACAAATACAGTTTTATGTCACGCTCCATTCACTTTATATTATATTGTAAACATTTTTCTGCCTTTAAGTATTATTTGAAATCATTTTTATGTCTACATAATAGTCTAAAATGGATATTTGATTTTTTTAACCATTCATATTTTGTTGGACTATTTAGGTTATTTTAAAATTTGAGCTACCACGGATAGCTCTTTGATGAACATGCTTTTACTTATATCTCTGACTATATAACTGATTTCTTTAGAATAGGTTTTCAAAGTAGGATTACTGGATTAAGGATATGAACATTTAAAAGGCTGGAGCTTCAAGCGGTCATATTGCTCCCCTGAAAGATTGGGTTTAGAGTCCTTCCAGTGAGGTATGACAGTGTCCATCTAAAAAAAACAAAAAACTCATGCCGAGCTAAAGCTCTAAACGTTCTTAGAAACGATGAACAGTACATATATGTAAATTTTAAAAATATGTACAGCATATTATGTATATGTATTTACATGCAATATATTATATATGTGCAAACTGTAACAATTCTATGTAATAAAACTGAAAAATGAAAGAAAACCAAAAAACAAAAAACAAAACAAAAACTCATGCCAGCCTGATTATATTTTAAATATTTGTCAATTTGATAGGTAAAGAGTGGTTTCATTGGCCATTCTCTGTTAATTGCCTATTCATGTTCTTTGCACATTTATTCTATTGGGGTGATTTCTTTAAATTTGGATTTTCATGAGTTCTACTATAATGAGTGTTAACTCCTTATCTCATTTATTACAAATATAGCAGACTCTAAGCAAACCTCAGTCCTTGAATCTCTTCTTTGTTCACATCCACTCCTTCAGGGATCTCACCCAGTCTCATGGCTTGAAATATTTGTGTACTGATAACTCCACTAGAATGTAAGCGTCATTTAAACTCCATGGGTGCAGCAGTTTTTTGTCCCTTTTGCTCACTGCTACATCCCTAGCACTTGAAACAGTTCCTGGCACATAGTAAGAACTCAGTAAATGTTTGTTGAATGAATTAGATAGTTTTATTATTATTATTACTCCCATTTTACAAATGAAGAAACAGTTCTAGAGTTATTAAATAAATTGCTGAAGATTGTGCAGCTAGAAAGTGATGGAACTGGGATTCACCCCCTGTTATCTGGATAACAGTTTACTAAATATGATGTATCAGACGAAGGATGCATGTTTAGAGCAGAGAATTCACTATGATCTCCATTGTGTCTGGCATATAGTAGATGCTCAATAAATATTGGGGGAATGAATAAATGAATGAATGAATACATGATTTCTAAAGGGTGTTCCTAACTTGAGACCTTGTGATTCCTAAAACCTCCCCTTACCATCCCAGTCTTCTTAGCTTTCTGTGGGAGCAATTTTATGAACCACTAATTTAAGAGATCATAATTCTGTACTGTATTGTCTCCTATTGTTCCATAACTAGCATGTTGTTAGTATATAGCCTTAATATAATGTGTTGAAAATGACACTTTATCTCTGTGATCCCCCTCCCCCAAACATACAACCCCAGTCTAATCAAGAGAAAAACATCAAAAACATTGCAATAGAGAACCACCCTGTAATATTCCTGACCAGTACTTTTTAAAACTATCAGGGTAATAAAAAACAAGGAAGGTCTGAAAAACTGAATTTTGAATTGCTACTCAAGTTTGTTTCTTTTTTTTATTATTGGATTTTATTTCTTAAAACAGTTTTAGATATATGGAAAAACTGAGCAGATAGTTTCCATATGCCTTGGCACCAGTTCCTGCTTTTATTAACATCGTATATTAATATGGTACATTTGTTATAATTAATGATCCAATATTGATACATTATAATTATTTAAGGCCCGTACTTGATTTGGACTTCCTCAGTTTTACCTAATGCTCTTTTCCCATTTCAGGATCCCATCCAGGATACCACATTATCATGGCCTTGCACACACATGCATATACACACATGCACAAATACATGTGTGTGTATACATACAAAAATGCAATTGAAAGGATACACATGAAAATATTAGTATTGATTACTACTACATCATGCTCATGAACTAATAAGTATTTTTCTTTGTAATTTTATGTCTTTCCAAGTTTTCTAGAATATATACGTAACGCTTGTATAATTAGAAAACAAAAGGAGTGATTTTCTTTATTTTTAAGTCTGCCACTAGAACAGCTCTGTCTTCTTTACAATGAAAATGTGAACCTTCCTCCGTTTTGATGACCTTGACAGTTTTGAAGAGTACAGGTCAGATATGGTATAGGTGCTTCGCCACTGGAATTTGTCTGATATTTCTCTCCTGATTAGATTGGGGTTATCAGTTTTGGGGAGGAGAATCAGAGGTAAAGTGCTGTTTTCATCACATCGTATTAAGGGTGCACACTAACAATATGATCTAACGTTGTTGATGTTGACCTTGGTCACCTGGCTGAAGTAATGCTTGTCCACTTGCTACACTGTGAAGTTACTCCCTCCACCTTTTCAATATTGTATTGGACACAATTCCCTCAACACAGGCCACACTTAAGGAGTGGGAAGTTACATTCTCCCTCTTTAGGTGGAATCTACATAATTTATTTGGAATTCTGCAAAAGAGATTTGTTTTTTTCTCCTGTATGTTAATTTATTCAAACGTTTATTTATATCAATATGATTTCATGGGTGTTTATTTTATACATTGATGTTATAATCCAATACTACTTTGTTTTATTGCTCAAATTGTTCCGACTTTGGCCATTGGGCGCTCTTTCAGTTGACTCTTGTGCCCCCTTGACATAGCCCCATCAGTGTGTGTGCTGTTGTTGTTGTTTTGGGAGCACTTCCTTACTTTCTGGCACTACAAGATGCTTCAGTCTCATCTTGCATATTTCCTGCCCCAGCCCTAGAATCAGCCATTTCTCCAAGAAGCCCTGGTTCCTTTTGTTGGAAGATGGTATTAGAAGCCAAGATCTGGGAGCTAGGTATGCTCCCTGCCACTGGGACATCATTTCTTTCAACTTGCATTCCATTGGATTGCATTGGGACCTGTTTGGGTTTGGAAAGCCAGGAAGAGAAAAAAAGTCAAAGGTCATATGGAGATATGCAGATGGTGATAAACATACAATTAACTTAAGGACATAGGGAAGATTTATCCCAGGGTGCTCCAGTTACACCACATTGCAGTTATCGGTCCTGTTGGGGCCATGTCTCATCCATGTTTATATTTTTAGAAATATCTTGCCTGCCACTGTGCCTTCTCAAAATTTATGGAATTGAACTGGCTTTTCAGGTCTCCGGGAGAAAAGGTTGAGTGTTTTGTACCTCCCTGGCTTCCTATTTATTCCTCTGTACTTTTTCTCTTTGCTTTTGTCTTTATCAGGTTTTCCTCATTGGATCTCTGACTCCCCAGGCCCCCTCCACCATGGCCAGCCGGGGCGGGGGCCGGGGTCGCGGCCGAGGCCAGCTGACCTTCAGCGTGGAGGCTGTGGGCATTGGCAAGGGGGATGCCTTGCCCCCACCCACCCTGCAGCCTTCTCCTCTCTTCCCTGTGAGTGTCTGCCCTCCTTTCCCAAGACTTCCACATGTCCCTGGCTGACTGTGTGTGATCCTGGGTTCCTCCTGGGCCATTATAAAATCATCCTCACCTTGCCCTCCCTGTCTCTATACTCCCAACTTACATGGGATGTTTTCCAGCCAAGGAAGTGTCTACCCTTACTTCTTACACTCTCAGCTCCCCAGGTTTCAAAATGCTGTGTTGCTTCCCCCATTTTCCTTTGGTCCTCTGCTCAGCAGGAGTGTTGGATTGAATTGGGGGGAGAGGAGAGACCCTTCCAGATTTGTACTCCAGCATTTTCTCCCTGAACTGACCATTGCCTCTGCCTCCTTAGCCCTTGGAGTTCCGCCCAGTGCCTCTGCCCTCGGGAGAGGAAGGGGAATATGTCCTGGCACTGAAGCAGGAGCTACGAGGGGCCATGAGGCAGCTCCCCTACTTCATTCGGCCTGCTGTCCCCAAGAGAGGTCAGTTAGAATGTAGCGTCATGTTCTCAGTGCCTTCTGTGAGTAGTACCCTGTACTTAGCACCACTGGGGCCCAGAGGGGCCAGAGAGGCACAGGAAGCTCACTGCCTAACAGGAGAGGTCATAATAATTACCCCTGCACTTGAAATGCATTACAGTATCCATGGCTTGTTTTGAATCTCGCAATAGTCTTGGACAATAGGAGGCTAAGTATTAAGATGCCCATGTTACAGGTGTAAATGGGGGGTTGTATAAAAACTTGAACAATCTGGATATTGCAGGCACCAGCCAATCAGAAGGGGTTGGGAAGAGGTCTCTGAGAAGCCCTGCTAATTAAAATATTACCCCTTTGGTGTGTGGATCAGGGCGAGGTCAGGGAATCCGGGAGAGGCTAGAGAAGGGGGTGCACTTGAGAGGCTTGGGGTAGTGGATATTTACCAACTGGTGTGGAAGTGCAGTTTTTCAGTATTTTGACAACCGGTGTTTTCCTGCTAAAGCCCTAGAAACTGAAGCTCAGGGAGATGAAACACTTGCCTGAGTTCATCCCATTAACAAGCAGGAAAGAGGGAAGACTGAAACCGTAGTTTCTCGCTCCAGTATAATTTCCACTGTACCACGCTACCAGTTAATAGAGCCGTGCCTTTAGGTTAAGGGAGATAACCAGCATTGTCACTTTGGGTGGCGAAAGGGCAGGTTAGGACAGTGTCGAAGGTCCTCACTGAAGCTGGCCGCCTGGGCTCTGGGTCTGGGGTGAGGGAACAGAGAGGACTGGGCACAGAGGAGCAACCCTGTTCTAGGGCGCTGAAGGAATAAAACTTTGAACCCTGGCCTCTGATCCCTTAGATGTGGAGCGTTACTCGGACAAATATCAGATGTCAGGGCCAATTGACAATGCCATCGACTGGAACCCAGGTAGGTGATGGGCTCTTTCATTGACTTGCCTTCTTTCAAATGCTTGAGATGTCTCAGGCCATAAGACACCGGCCTGCTTACCCTCCTCTGTCCCCACCTCCACCCTATCAGGAGCCTTAGATTTGCTCCAAAATACTCTTCAGACTCTACCTAAAAAGCTGCTGAATAGCCCCCACTCCTCTGGAGGCATCCAAGCCAGTTTTGTTCTGAGCAACTCTGGCCCAACCCCAACTTTCCTCGCCCTTACCCTGGCCCTCATCTCTCCTTTACAAGTCACCATTCGTAGGAGACTCCAGGCAGAGTCTTACTGACTTTTACGTTCCCGCTCTTCCTAGATTGGCGACGTCTACCCCGAGAGCTAAAGATCCGAGTAAGGAAGCTACAGAAGGAGCGTGAGTGTATCGGGAAAAAGGAAGGAGAAGAGAGGTTTTCTTTATCATCTGGAGGGCCAAGGCTGCTGGTGGTCTCTGCCCTACCCGTTGCACCCAGTGTTGTTGCTGGATGCCATGGTGGCCACACGAGGGCAGCAGAGTGACGCGGTGGATGCAGGAGGGTGGGGTAGGAAGTCTGTTCCCCTATGGTTCACCTTTTGATCCTCTCACCAGGGACCACCATTCTGCTCCCCAAGAGGCCCCCTAAGACCACAGAAGATAAGGAGGACACAATACAGAAACTAGAGGTAAGGAAGAGATTTGCATGGAGACCTCCCGGGCCCTGGTCCTTCCCTCCCCTTTGGCCCTAAGCTTTCCCTTCTGTTGTCTGCATCTGCATCTCTCTTTCTATTCACCCTCACACAAGACCCTGGAGAAGAAGGAGGAGGAAGTGACTTCAGAGGAAGATGAGGAGAAAGAAGAAGAAGAAGAGAAGGAAGAGGAGGAGGAGGAGGAGTATGACGAAGAGGAGCATGAGGAGGTGAGGGGCCTCCTTTCTCCCCTAGTCCCGCTCCCTTCCACTCCCGAGCTCTGGGAATTGCAGCTCTGTCCGCGGGATGCTGTCTTCAGAGGGCAGGAGGGCCAGAGGGGACAGTGCCTCCAGAGGACTGTGGCCTCTACTTTCTCTGTCCTCAGGCGCTTCTCAAGAGTGAACTACAGCTTGGAAGGCCTTCCCATGCCTGGAATGATGTGATGGGGAGGGAAGGGGACTGGTACGCAGGGAGGAAGGAGAATGCTGAACGCCTGCCTGATCAATGTTCCTTTCATCCTTTCTTTCTTTTTCTATTTCAGGAAACTGATTACATCATGTCATATTTTGACAATGGAGAGGACTTTGGGGGTGACAGTGATGACAATATGGATGAGGCTATATACTGAAGAAGGACTCTAAACAATACCCTGGACCTTCATATCTTTTTAAATTTAGGATACAGAAAGTAATTGTCCCCTATAATTTGGTTTTGTGGACAAGCAAACCATTTGCTTACAGTCCAGATAACCTGTTTGGTCCCTGGAGATGGGAATGGAGAATGACAGCAGATAGCTCTTTTCTACCCTTCCCCTCCCTCTCTCCTCTGACATCATAGTACCTCTGATATCCTGGGGAAAGGGCAAGGGACCAGTGTCTGAACTGTATGCAAGGGAGAAAGGAGGGTTGAAAGAAGGACTGAAGTCGTTGAGTTGAGACAGCTGTGCACATGCCCCTACCCATTTTTAATAGTTCTTTGTGGAGATAATGGTGGTGGGAGCAGTTAGGAGGAGTAAGGACAGTTTTATATTTTTAAATAAAATGTTTTTATCTGTCTCTCTGACCAGGTGAGGCTTAGTGGGAGACGGCTGGAGAACGAAGGGGGTGCCCAGTGAGCCATTCTTCTCTCCTTCCCTGCTAAGAGTCCAGGGTCACACAGTGGGGGTTACAGCCTTCGGGTCCTTTGCCTCTTCCCTGCTACCCCCTGCTGGGACCCCCAGTCTAGCTCTGCAAGGACCGTTCAGGAACTCACCTGCAGGGCTTCGCAGGGTGAGTTGTAAAGAACAGCCCACGCCCTGGAGACCAGCTGGCTTCTGAGCCTCTGATCCTCAGGCAGTGGGGACACAATTGTCTCTGTTCACATGTGTTCACAGGCCCTCGCTTTCCCACACTTGACCTTGATCCTGTCCTTGTTTACAGGGAATGATTAGAGCTATTTTTGTGGGGAGAGTCAAGAAAGCCAGGTGCGGGGAGGGGGCAGGGAGGAGGTGCTGGTTCTTCTTTAGCTCGCTCGCTCGCTAGCTCACCCTCTTCCAGGCCCTGGAGGCCCCACTTCGATGTATGTCTGTGAAGAGGGAGCCCCTGAACATCCTATTCTCTACACAAAAGCTGCTGTGTGACTGAGTTTCGGTTTCTCTTCTGGTTCTTCCTTTCTGGAATTTAGTTAGCCTTTGTCTCACTCTCTTCTTGTGGGGAAGGGAAGGGGGTGGCCGTCTTGCTTTACAGGAAGTAAGGAGGGTGGGGAGGAAGGGAGTGACTTAGGGACACTCAGCTCGGAGAGGTGCTTTCTCGCCCACACAGTTCTCCCTGGGGTGAGGTCACTTCCCTTGGCTCTGATTGGCTTCCAAGGGAGCCCTAAATGAACTGATTGGTTCCAGTCACTTGACATGCAACAGTCACGGGCAAGCTGCGTGTCCAGAATAGGGACTGGGTAAGGAGGCAGGCACAGATTGCTGGGATGCTGTCATAGCGACCTCACTAAACATTTGAAAGCCATAAAGATGGGATGCAGGAGAATCTTCAAGAAATTCCCCAACCATATTCAGGCAGGCAAGCTGAATTCCCTACAGCGTCAAGGGGTAGAGACGGGCCATCTAATGTTAGATATTTCTGATGCCATTGTAAAGAATGAGTAAGTGCTGTGACTCCATTGAGGGGAAGCACCTGAAAAGCCTGGTTTGGGTGAGGTGGTAGGTGGTAAGATAGAAGCAGGCAAGAGAACAGAGAAGGAAACGGGAATAGAAATAGAACATTCCAGGCCTATTGAGCAATTTGTGCTGATTGATGTGTTTCCTTTTCTAGTTCTCTGAGGTATTGTGTGAGTGGAGTGGGGGGAGGGGCCAGGGAACCTGCCACTGGGGTTTCCCACAGTCACGCTGTAGTCTGTGATCGTGGCTGGGAAGAAATCAGCAGGAAACAAAAATAAAAGACCCTGAAAAATCTCCTTTTGCCTTTCTCCCCGGCACATATACACATACCAGACCTAATCTGGTTAACTGTTTCTGTGTCTATGCTGGGGGCACAGCTGACCTCCTAAATCCCACCTAAGCCAGCATGGGGAACTTACAAGAGTGGGAACAAAGAAGATTCTAGACAAGAGACAGTAGAGGAGAACTGAACACATCCCTGCCCCCACCTCTGTATACACTCATCCTTTTCCCATGAAATAGCGGAAAGGATAAAGGTTAGAGTGACCACTTGGGATCAACTGTGCTGCCTCAAAGACAAAGTGTCAAAGATTAGACCATTCTTGGACTCTTTCCTATCTGGCCTCCTGTCCCTCCTGGCAGGTGACCTTGCTGAACAAAGCCAGATGCAGGGGACCCAGCAGCTTGCCCAGATTCCGGAGCAGTTCCAGGCGTGAGCTAGCCTGTTTCCACTGACCTCTCCCCTACTTTCCATAGGTTCCACTGGGCAGGCTTAGGCCAAAGCCTATGGCTCAGTAAATGGAGTCAGGGCTCGGGAGGACCACCCGAGCGTTCAGAGGCTGAGGCCCTGCTCGCACACATTTAGGGAGGACCCACGTGATTCTTGCTCAGCCCTTTCCTACGTGCCTGCTAGGGCCTGCTCCTGTGGAACAGACTGCTCCCATGCCTACAGCCTAGGCTGCTCTGGCCCCAGGCAGGGTAGGGTCTCAGGCAAGAGTCTTACCCTTCCCTATCCCATGTTCCATCCCTAACCTCCTGGTCCTCCCGCCCACCCCCCAACCTTGGAGGAGGAAGCTTGAGATTGGGGTCTGCAAATTTAAGTGTAGGGACTCAAGCAGTTGGAGGGAGGGCTGAATGGGAGACCAGGATGCAACCTGCAGCTTAGAAGGTTCAGAGCGGAGACCAAAGAAAACTGAAGGGTCAAATGTTGGGTGGACAGGACACCCATGGTTTTGTGCAGAAAAGACAATTATTTTCCTCAATTCATTTTTATTGCTGTTTAAATTTTGAAAGGAAGGAAGGGTGGCTTATAGGCCTAGGCAGGTTTAAGAACTAAGCCAAGAGGGAAGGCTGCCATCTCAGCTGAGCAGAGCGCCGGCTTATGGTCCCAGTTTCATCAGTCCGCAGCTCTGTGCCCTTGGGAAAGTCATGTCCCCAAGCCTTAGACTCCTCACGTGTGAAGGAGAATTTGGGTTGGATGTCCACTAGGAATCCTTCAGCTGATGCTGGTCCACCCGCAAGCATCCAGATGATTCTGAGAACAAAGGTCAGGATGTGTCCAGCTTTTGCGGAATTCATTCTGTCTGCTGGATTTCCCCACCTTTTTTTTCAGCTGGGCAAGCTAAAGATACCTCAGGCATCTAGCCAGTCCTTTCCAAGAACCTACTTCAGCCAGAGTAGCAGGAGGATCAACAATTCCATTAACTAGCAAAGAAGGAGACAGCCCTGCAGCAGAGTTCAAGGTCACAATCAGCCAGCCAGGACTCAAGTCAAGCAGGCCACCAAAAAATTTCTGACCGAGGAAGGGGCCTGTGGGGCAGGTCCTCTCTGTCTCCCCGCATGTAATGTATCTGGCCAGAGGACAGAGAAGGGAGAAGGGAAATGAGCTGGATAGGAATAGCTCAGTTAGCTAATCTGGCCAGACCAGAGGTGACCCCCTTCACTGGCTTTTCCCTTATACTGAGGCTCATTTTTCCCCCCAAGGTCATCTGGGACCAGAAAGCTGAAAATAAGTTCCAGTTTGTTAGTATCCCCTCAGAAAGGTTTGTGTCCTATCCCCAACAGGACTTAACTTGCCATTTTGTGCTCTGGAGGGAAGGGAAGTTCTCCCTGCAGCTATAATGGGAGTCGGTGGGAAGACAGCGACCCAGCCCTGACTGCAGGAGCTGAGAGGCTAAGTGTGGTCGCCTTGGGGACCCAAGGCTTCAGGGGAAGGAATGCAGGGATTCCTCAGACCCAGTCCCGACCAGGGCAGGGTGGGGGCGATGTCCCCTATCCAGTTCTGTCTCTAACGTTCTCTGTCACACTGAGGGCAGCATTGACAGTACCAGAATAGGAGGGAGTTTAGACCTGTCTCTGCCTTTTACCAAAAGAGGGTGGGGGAACAAACTCATCTAAGTCAGGGACACAGATTTGGGGTGTTTCTTGTCTTGGAGAGAACAGATCGAATCCCATGTGGACAGAGAGAGAAGCCCTGGTCCTCATCCTCCCTATGCTCTGCTCTGGCCAGAGATGCAGCCATCCTGGAGAGACAATGCCCTCCTCTAAGGAGGCCAAGGTAACTCTTTCACCTTGTTTTTCTCAGGCCGCGGTTGGTAAAAGGAAGTGAAACAAAGATGGGCTCAGCGAGAGAAAGGGCAACTGCTGGCCAGTCCGTTCTCAGCCCTGGGCTTCCTGTCTCCGAGCCTCTCTCCTGGCCGCTGGACAGTCTCTCCTGTCTGACCATACTTGGCTGCTCTTGGCCCCTCACCTCTCTCTTACTTGGCTTGGCTCCTGTTTTGAGACTTGCCTTTCATCCTGAGCCGCCACCCTGACACCTGTCCAGAGAAATCAGGGACGTCTACAGACGTCTCGGGAGCTGGACGGAGCCAGGTCAGGAGGGCTGAGAGCCAGGAAGACAGCTGCCATTCACTCATTCTTCTTGTCTTTCAGATTCTTTTCCTTTTTTGACTCTCTCTTCATGTCTTTCTTTCCATGTCTTTCCTTGCCTTACATTTTTAGCATAGTGCTACTTAAATTAGGTTATCAGTGGGTGATGAAGTGAGAAATATTTGGAGCCACAGACTACGACACAGCACATCTTCCAGAGTGCCAGTTGTAAGGAGGAGGGTGTAGCTCAGTGGTAGAGTGCATGTTTAGTATGCTCAGGGTCCTAGGTTCAATCCCCAGGACCTCCATTTAAATAAATAAAGTTAGTTATCTTCCCCAACCCTGAAAAAAAAAAAAAAAAAAAGGAAATAAAAAAAGCTAAAGAAGCAGAGTGTCCATTTTACTTTTAACATTTGATGGGGGAAGATAAATTCTTTTTATACTAAAACCACACAAATATATTCTTCAGTGTAAATCAAAATTTGCACTTTTTAAACATAAAGTGTTCAAACACATTTCTGGCTTGTGGCAGGCTTCTTTGGACTGTTCCAGAATCCCGGGGGGGGGGAATTCACTCTCCCTAATCTTAGGGGTCCTTCAGAGGAAATATGTGAGAAGCTCTACTTAGAGCAGAGATGGCAACCTGAGAGAAACCCTAACACCAGACAAGTGAAGAGTATAAAGGAGTGAAGCAGGTGGTGTAATGTGATAGGGAGTGGTGGGAACTGGCAGACGGGAGTCGGCCTGATCCTTTTATTAGCTCTAGGGGTTCGATGCCATGAAGGAATGTGGGCTCCATGTTAATAAATACGGTTGCTTTTTAAGGGAAGCCAGAACAATAGATTTTAGTGAAATCTAAATTTTTAATGTTACAACCAATTCAAATATTTAGGAAGAAACTGTACAACTTTCTAAATGTCTGCAAGCTGATTCCACCTCTGGGCCCACGGCTTGCTGTCTCTGACCTCTACCAACTACCAATTTCTTCTACTTTCCAAAGGTATGTGAAGCCCTTTGGAAAGTAGAAGGCTGCAGGAGAGTGTGGAGCTCTCCCGCAGGGACTGCAGGAGAGTGTGGAGCTCTCCTGCAGGACTGCTTGGGGAGGCAGAGCTGAAGAGAAGCCTGTGGGTACCAATGGGAGACTACACCTTTCTCTAAGGGGAGCACCTTTCCCCTGATCTACAGGGATATGGAGCTACAAACATCTTGGGGTCTGGAATAGAAACCAAAGATTCCTCAAAGTTGGAAGGTAAGACAAGCAGGAAAGACCAGGAATAGAGAGAAATGGGAAAACAGGAGACAAAGGAAGGAAAGAAGCTGTGAGCCTGGATAGATGCAGGAGGAAGTCAGAATTTGGACAGGTGAAGTGGAGAGAGAGGGATGGTTAGCTACAGAACCATATAAGGGAAACACAGTTCTCACGCCCCTGAACCCCACCTCCCCTCCCTGCAACTGAAATTCTTCCTCTGTCCATCTGTTCAGGAGGTTAAAAATATTCACGCTGGGTACCCAGCCAGACATTTCCAAGAACCTGTTTACTGACCATTTGATTGGCTTGGAGAGATGGTCAGCAGCTCCATCGCCCAACAAGGAAGGAGAATGGAGCTTGCTTGACATCCCAGAACTCAAGGCATGTGGGAACCACAATTACATCCCCACATTCTGCCTTTCCTCTTCCTTCTCGCATCACTCCATTGCCTGGAGATGACCAATCAAGTGGTAGTCAGAAAAATCCCAGCCTTTGGAGTCCGTTCATTCTTCTCTCCTTACGTAACAGGCCCAGCAGAGAGAGCAGCAGGGTCACACCAAGGGAGAGTTCAGGACAAGACAGGAACAGCCTAAATAAACTAAATTGGACCTCACTGGGGGACTCCCCTCTACTGGCTTTTGTGCTACTCAATCTGGTCCACCTCAGAGAAATAAATCAAATGAGGTGCAACACCTTCAAATGAGGAATGTGCGAGTCCTCTGTAGTGTCACACTGTATGTCCAGCCTCTCTGTTTCTCAGTTTATCACTCCAAACCGTGGGAAGTTTTCCCCTGGAGTTGTATCCTCAAAAGTTATGAAAGTTCAATGAGTTAATTTCCAGAAGGTGACGGAGTTACTCCAGAGGCCTGTGAAGCCCACTGGGAGTGTGAAATGGAGAGCTCTGGTGCTCCCAGAGCTGTCCCATGGGCATGTGCCTGTCCTGGCCTGGGGGTGACAGTCCCAGAGTGAGCCACCTCTCTCCCACCTCAAAATTAACTCAGGTTGAGTCAGCTTCTACACACTGACCTCTTCTCGGAATGTTTTGTTCCCCAAACACAGGAAGGGAATGAAGAGGGGCAAAGAGAGAGTAGAGTCACTTCTGATGGGTCAGAGAGGAAGAGCGATTTTGGGGACACACCGGGAATGAACTACTTTAAGTGGTGGCGATGGGTATGCCTCCTCTTTTATTTTTGATAAGGAGAACTTATTTGCTGCTGTTCTAACACTTCACACATACTTTTCAAAATCCTCACAACAATCTTCTGAGGTGGGTACTATTATTATTTCACATTTGACAGATAAACAAACTGTAGCACAGAGCCGTGAACCAAGGTCATCGGGCTTGTTAGGTAGTAGAAGTAGGATTTGAATTTAAATAGTCTGGCTCCGGGGGACCGGTGCTTGGTTACCACACTGTACACTCTCTCCCTGAACTTCTCCTAGGCTATATCCGCACCTACTGGGCCAGGACCTGCAGCCCTGAATCTGCAGCCATCTGTAAGAGGGAGTTTTCCAGCTTAGGAAATGGAGGTGGATGTAGGCTCAGAACAGAGAACGAGACAAGTTTCTTCTTTTCCAGAACTGTTGAGGTCAGGATGCTTGGGGCAGGGGCTGGGCCATTGGAGGGTCAGTAAAGTATTTTCCTTATCCACCTTATGCATTCTGTCACCTTGAGATAGCCCAAGGGAAAAAACTACCAGGACGGGGTCTATATGCTACTGAAAGAACTGGGCAAAAGTCAGCCCTTCACCTCACTTCAAAACCGTCAGCTCCGATGTGATTGCTTTTTGTTGACCAGGTGCTTGGTCAGAGCTTCTCACCACACTTTTCCCTTCCAGTGCCTCAAGCCCAATTCCACTTCTTGTGTTTCTAGTCTGTTCAGGGCGATCGAGGTAGCCAAAGACCCTGGTTGGGGGACTGCTTGTGTTTTCTTGTGAATTTTACTTTCTGTAGCTCTTGTCTCTCTTTGGGTAGTTTTCTTTCTGTCTCCTTTCAGATCTTTCTATGCCAGATTGGACCTAATGAATAAGTGATACCGAGAACCGAATTTCCTTTAATGGCTGTGCATGTAGGTTATAGCTCTTTAAAAATTAAAAGACATGTGAGGAGAGCATGGGAAAGGAAGACCCAAAATATCCACCCTCACAAGTGGAGAAGCAGCTGGGTCAGCACCCAAGGAAGAGGACTCAGCAAGCCCATCTGCAGCAACTGTCCTGGGGTGAGTAGCAGTCGCGTGTAGAAGGCAAAGGGAAGTCCAGGGGAGAACCCTGTGCTCTGAGGGAGGCTCTGGGTTTCCTCCGGGTGAACAGCTACAGCTGCTTCCTTCCTTCCTCAGATTTTGCTGCTCTGTTCAGTATGATAGTCACTGGTCACATGGACCTAATTCAATTTAAACTAAACAAAAATAACAATTCAGTTCATCACATTTCAGAGCTCACTGGTCACTTGTGAGATATGTGATGGATAGTGGCCACCGTGTTAGTACAAATATAGAACATTTCCATCATCATAGAGAGTTCTGTGGATCTGAAGTGAGGGTAGCAGGAGAGGGTGCTTATGTTCTGGCCTTTCAAGGATCAGATCTCTATCAGACCTTGGGTGTAGTTTATTTGCCCTCTCCCCGCTATCCCATTCTCATCTCATGTACCAGGCTGTGCACACAAACAACCAGGCTTTTGTGCTCTGTGCTCTCCAGCTCCTTGTCCTGCCCCTCTGGCTTGCTCTTGTCCTTGCCCCACCCCTCTGGCCCCTGGAAAACAAGCCCCAGAAAAACTTTTCCATCAACTTTGACCTAGTTTCCTGGTTGGTCACTAATTTGAAAGAGGGAGGAGCCACTAAATTCTCGAACAGGTAAGAAAAGGAGGAGGCGGAGGTAAGAGTGAAGGTGACAGTCACCATGGAACAGAGAGCCAGATATTGACACCTTGGTTAAGAAAAACAGACGAAGAGCCAGGAGAGAGCAAGAAGCTACTGAGAATGAAAGTTAGACACAGACAAAGACTGAAGTGGAAAAGAATCTTTTCAATCTCACTTTCTGTTCAATTTATATTGATTTTGTGAACTTACAGGGGTCTGAGGTTTGGATTTACGATGTGGAGGTCCACTGGAAATCCACCCCCAAATAAGGGCCAGGACTAGATTTGTCTGCAAAGTTTAAATGAGACAGAAATTAGAAAGTAACCTCTGCCGTCTCAGGGTTTCTCTTCTTAGTCACTCCTTTAGGAATAATAAAAATCATTTCAGTTAGAGGTTGACTTGCAGCATCAGCCTATTGTTTTTCTCTACAAGTAACAGGACCTGCAAAGCATATTCTAAGGCGTTAAGGGCAGGGGTTGGGTATTTACAGTTATGTGCTGGGATAAGAAATGTGCTGGGAGCTGCCTTCCAAGAATTTGATGAACACCGTTAACTCTAAATCCTTAACTCCTGTATTTTCTTCTGCTTCTTGCATATAAACCAGGCTTGTTACTAGGAAGAAACTCTTAAGATAGAACCAAACTATAAAACAGGGAACTGTAATAACTCCTTCCTTCTGAATCGCCTCACAAACTTCACATCCCTGTATTTCAAGGGCTTGTTTTAAAAAACAACAGAAAGCCTCATGCACTCCAAGGACTTTGGTAATGATTAGCTATAGATGTAGAAGACTAGCTTAGACCACCAGAAGATCCCACTAAAATTCTTTACTGAGTTGGAAAAAAGTCAATGTAGCTCAAATTCCTTCCCTGTTCACCCCTCCAGCCCAACTCGGACTATATTCACTGGAGTCAACAGGAAATGTTCTCTCTACAGGGTTTTCAACACGAATTGTGAAGGAGGGGGGAAGCTCCTTAGGCACCCTTTATTTCTAGTAACTTCTTCAACACCATCTCACAGACAAGAAATCAAACATTTTGCCATTAAAAAATTTATTTTTATTTTTTTACAAAGAATATTCCCATCTGGGGTGAAAAATATATCTGGTTAAGTACAAAATATAGTCTTTGTCATACAAAAAGATACACAATTAAAAAACAAAAAAAGTGAAACCAGCTTCAGCCCACATACTTTCTCTGAAGAGGGTAGAGCTCAGTGCTCTGACACAGGACAGCGAACAAAGTGCTAAGGCTGAGGGTGACTGCCGAGTGCTAGGGGCTGCAGTGGAAGAGAGGCTGTCAGCGTCCCCGTCTCCCAACACTGGGCAGGAAGGGAGCCCTGGGGGCTGGTGTGGAAATCTGCCCTCTAGTTTCTCATGGCAACACCTGGATGCTCTGATCACAGTACTGGGGCATTCTGATCTCGAGTTCCTCCTTGGGTTTGGAGAAGTCACAGTGAGCAAGGCTGATAGCAGCAACCCTTCTCATATATAATTAGAGTGTCAGAATTGCAGAATTTGGTACACTGGGACAAAGTCTCAAAAGTAATGAACAACACTTTTTTTTGTCATTGTGCTTACCCCTGGAGACATAGTAGACCAGTTTTAGCTTACATCTGAGATAGGAAAAAAAAAAAAAACCACCCAAATTTGATACAAACTAAAGTGCTAAGAACATCACCTCAGAATCAGTTCCAAGGAGTCACATGAAAAGAAACACACATTCTCCCACATGAAAATGTTTGCAACAGGAGAACACAGTGCAATAGGCTCTAAAAATGGCTTTTAAGACCTTTGGTAGGGCATAGTTACTTCTGCTTTAAGCCAGATTAAAATACTTCCTAGACGAAGACAACTTTAGAGCTTCTTCCCTTTAATTCACATGGAAAGCTCGCTCCAAAGTCTAAATCAAATCAGCTCTTGGAAGGTTTTTTCTTTTTTCTCTAAGTGTACAAAGGGGAACAATGACTTTAAGAACATCCTTTTCCCCAAGTTTTGACCATGGCTTTTTTCCTTTTCATTTTCCTAGTTTGCTAAATTGGCTCTGCTCCACATGGCAGTTTTAAGATCTGATATTGTTGTAACAACCTATAATCCCCTCCATAAAACCTTGGGAAGACCATGCCAGGAGGTCATTTCTACCCCTGATTCAAAACTACTGAAAATGCCTCAATTTTTAAAAAGATCTGAGAAAATGGAATGGGCCTGAATTTTTCTAGATGTCTTTAGGCCCATCCAGGAAAAAAACCACCACCACCCATATCACAACATCTTGCTGGCCGAGGACAAGTGCGCACTCTTCAAGGCCCAGGAGATTGCCCGCTGATCACCTCCTACACTGGAGAACCAGAGGCTGGGGCAGACCCACACCCCACTGTAGAGACCGTTGAGTCCCTAAAAAAGTCAGTGTCCAGGAAGAGAGGTGGAAAGAAACAAGTAGGTACAGCTGCTTCTTTTCTTCCACGTGCTCACTGCACATTGTTGTTCAGAATGCTGGGATCCACCTGGGAGGAAGGAAAGAAAAGAGCATTGCAGTTTAGGTAAGAACTAGAAGAACCACCCAGTTCAGCAATCCCCCCAAGCCACCTCCCCGCAGAAGGCGCAGGACAAATGCAGTGGTAAAACGACAATTCTCACCTCAGTGTAAGTAGGTGGTGGCATGAACTTAAACTCAGGAGCATACATAAAAATAGGGCTATCTTGAGAACCATCTGTGTCATCTAGCAGAGGAGTGGTGGGGCTCTCCAATCGGTGATCTTCAGGAATGATATCCATATAGCAAGGAGGAGCTGGAGAGAGAAGGTATGGGGATAAGAAGCTGACCAAAAACAATGCCTGAGGCTCACAACTTTACAAACCCAAGCGGGTGAGAGGGGAAGAAAAGACGTCAGAGGTCTGGCTCACCTTCTGGGGTATCAGGGATGTTTAGATCTACCCAACTCATCTCAGAGCTGGTTCGGCTGGCCATGCTGGATGTCCGGCTGCTGAGGCCTGACCTGCCGCCGATTACCAGGGGCAGGTCAAGAATGACTTTCTTGGAGCCAGGGACGCTAACATAGATCTGGAAAGGAAGATGGCAATTTGTTAGGCTAGAGATCTGGAGAAAACACCACTGTTGTTTTGACAGATGAATAATTTCTCTCTCCAACCCCACCCACTCACCAGTAAGGAGTATTCAACTCGAAGGATGTTGCAGCCCAGGATAGAAGGTCTGATCTTCTGCACCCGAAGGCTCTTGCCACGCCATGATGCACAGGTTCCTGAGATAATATGATTGCCTCTGACCGATGACAACTTCTGCGTCAGCACCTTGGTTTGGCCATTGGCAAGGTAAGTGTGACGGGCTACAATGGCAGCTTTGGGAATCACAATGCGGGAACATGTATTCTCAAAGTCAGCATGTATGGAAATCTCATCACCTAGCAATGAGAAAGACGAAAACTGATGCTTAGTACAGTCAATGACTTTTCTTCTGTCCCTGTCTCCTCCAAATCCACAGTTCCTGTTTTAACAGTCTCCCATTTTAGGCACTAGATTTTTACCTTCACAGAATCCTTTTCTGTCAATTCGGGCAGAGACAGACACCCGGCCATCAGGAATGAACATGCAGGAAACTTTCTTCTCCTTTTTAGCAGACACAGGTGCCTACGTAGAATGGAGGAATAAAAGGTGTTTTGAGCATTTCTAGAGCTCTTTTCTCTGCTTCTCTTTCCTTTCCACTACTTACTTATAGTAGGCAGCCTTCCCTCCCACCTCGATCACTTAGGACCTGATTCCCTGAGGGGCTTCAATCTAATTCCCAAGACACTCTTGACTTATCCCCGAAACCCAGAAGGACAGAATCTTAAAATGAAACTCACCATTAAATCGGGGGTGTTGACATCGACTAGATCCATCACTTCAAAGTTTTTCTTTGTCTCTTGAGTTGGCTGGCTGGGGCGATCAAGAAAAGCCTTCACCCAGTAGTCTACACACCCATATTTTCCTTTGAAAGATGTTCCCAGAGGCCTGTATCAAGAAAAAGGAAACAATTAATTTAAAAATGCTCTCCAAGAACAGCAAGTGAACAAAGGAGAAGATTCTTAGAGATAAGTTCAAGGTGCATTCAGCTGATACCTACCCTTCAGGAAGCTCAAAGCCGAACTTGTATTCATATTTGTTTCCAGGTCTCATGATCACCATCTCATTCTCACCTGAAGGGAGAGAAAAGCAAGTGGGTTTCTTGTTACACTTAAAATGCATCTGTGCGATAAGGAATTCTTGGGCAGCATGCAGAACTATTGTAGAAATCCCATTTTCACCCCTTACGTTCTCTAATAAGAGATTCTGATGCATTTTATTGGACAAAAAGTTGCAAAGCCCTGCAGGTGCTTAAAAGGCTCAACCAGGACAGTTAAGCTACTCATCATCTCAAACAGGAAAACAAGCAAAGAATAAGCAACTTATGCATAGAGAATCTCCAAATGGCTAAGGCAACATCCCTCGGGATCGCCTTCAAAACACAGCACCATAATAAACTGTGCAAATCACCCCCTTTTTAGCGGGGCGGGGGAATGTTGGCAAATTAAAATTTGAAAAGATAAGGAAGCAACACACAATTCAAATGGCACAACCCGCGAAACTCAGAATACTAAGTATAGACTCCGTCTATTCGTTATCAATTCTCTTCTCAAATGAGCTTTCATCCCTCGGCAAAGAACAGCTGGGTCACTCACCTGTTGGCTGGTCGTCCAGGAGAAGCGTGTCTTCGTAGCGCAGGTAGTCCAAGGTCTGTTTGCACTGCTGGGATCCCTGCATCCAGAGGACTTTGGCCACTCCGCAAGCCAGGATCCTGACAGCTTTGACTCGAGTGACTTCACAGACCTCCACTATCACCCGGCCAGCCACCTTCTCCCCACTGCCGTACACCTTTTCAGGGTCGTTGAAGACCACTTCAAAAGACTTGATCTTTTTGAACATCACCATGATCGGGCTGGGTTGGCTTAAGAGTTAGAAACCGGGAACAAAACCCCAAATCAAAAGACTCTTTGCAATAAATTAAGATTTCAGTCTTCCAACTCTCTACTAAGTTTTTAACAAGATGTCAAAAAATAAAATGTAAGCTGCTGGCTATGCAAGGGATTTCAAGAGAAAAATATGCTCGCTCTTTTGTTTCTTGCCTCCAACATCTGGAGGAGAGCTCCAGGTCTCCGAGGCAAGGCTAACAACACACCGCCCGAGGAGACGAAAAGATAGTTTCAGCCGGGAACCGGAAACTGCTCTTTATAGTAGCCCGGGCAGGCAGGGCCACGCGAGCGCTAGTCCCGAGGCTCGTGCTCCCCTCGTGCACAGCCCTCCCATTGGCTGCACGCTCCTTGTTTACCAAGAGCCCGACCAATCAGCGAGGTCGCAGCGGCGCGTGGACACAGTGTGCTCCTGGCGGGGAAAATGGTTGTTATGCACGGCTGCTGGGCTGGGAGGAGGGGGCGGAAGGGCGGAGGGGCGGAGGGGCTGCTTCCCTCCCTCCCAAAGGAAGGCAGGCTTCGGTGACCCTAAAATCTATCCGAGGCCCGTGGCCTTCGGAGGGCGGGTGCGGATGCTTCTGGACTGGGACCGGTGTTTGGAGGTAAAAGGAAAATGTGCTTATGAGGGAATTTCGTGCCAGGCTTTGCCAATGCAATTAATTTAGAGGCGACCGTTTATTCCCGGCTCACAAATTGCAAGTCGTGTGAAAAACAATCCCAGAGCTCCAAGAATACTTTAGAATTGGGGCGGAGGACGGAGAGTGCTGCTGTTAACTGTTCAAGCAACTCCCCTGTGTCCGTCTCTGGCCCCGGACCTCTGTTTAAAAAAACAAACAAACCCCCTCAAATGACTGTGTGTGAAGGAAAAGAGAACTTGTCACAAAATTTTAACCTGTCTTCAGCACTGGAAAGCGAGTACGTGCGCCTGATTGGCCTCCTCCCTCCCTTTCTAGCCCCCGGGGCCGGGGCCGCATGCGGGGCTGCGTGCGGGGCCGCCTGGTCCCTCAGCCCCTGAGCCCTCCGCGCTGTTCTCGGTCCTCTGGAGCGGAAATAGTGAGGGCGCGTCCACATCCTGTTGCTTATCCCCTTCGTCTGAAGAGATCAGTCCCTACCTGCAAAGCTGGGGAACACTCTGTTCATGTTGCCCGAGTTACCTCATTACCTCTTCAGTAAAGTGTGTTCTTTTGGCTCTGAGTCTCGCTCCCTCCCGGCTTCTCCAGGAAAGGGGGAAAAAGAGGCATGCTTCACTCTTCCCTTTTTTCCTGAGCTACTTGGACTCTTTCTAGTCTTCGGCCCCGCTCCAACTTAACTAAATCAAAGATACATCCCTAAATCTGCTGCGCACACTCCTCACAGCCTTTAAGTTAGTTGTAAGCAGGAGTTACCTTGTAACCAGTGTCAGTGGAAAGATGGCCGTGTTCCTGTCTGAAGGGAGCACTTCGCTGTCTGTGAAAAGTTGGGTGGTGTGTGTGTGTGTGTTTTACCTAAGCTGTTTAGAAATTGGTTAAGACAGGAAAGTCACTAGCACACGGTAAATTCAAGCTAAAAGAGACCCTGACTCCTTGTCCTGTGCTGTCATTTGGCTCCCTGTCAGATGGGTTTTTCCTTAGCTAGCCATGAGATGCCTTAGCAGCTGGCTCCTGAGAAATTATTCGTAAATGCAGTAAGAAAAACTTGTGTGCAGAGATACAGGGATTCTTCTCCCTTTTCATTGATTCCTGAGCCCCTCCTGTGTCTGTGTTGGAGATTGTTACCTCATTTCTTGTACTGGAAAGAAGAAGACAATGTTCCCAAGACTGAGATGGGGAAGTAAATAAGAAGCATTAGTTATACAGAAATCCTACCCTCTCAGCAAAAAGAAGCCTATTCATTGCTGTTAAGGGTACTTTCTTCTTCACACACCCTAACTGGGTTGACACCCTAATCCTAAGGATAAGTTACAACTCATCCTCACTATTAAGGAAGCTCAAGAATCAGGCAACAAGACTGTTGGAACACACACACACACACACACACACACACATTACTAACCTCCAGGAACAAAAGAGGGAACATTTTGATCCTTACGATGCGTAGGTTTGAGGTGGCACCCTGTTCAAGAAAGTTAACCAATAAGTCCTGAGTTGTTTTCAGTTGGTCAACAATACTGATTGAATTATCTAGATCAGGAAAGGTGGGGCTCTCACTAAAGTCATTTTTAAAATCCCATTTGTGGCTTCTGGGAGAATGGGAGAACTTTTAGTTTGATAGGTATGAAAATGTACATAAATATGAAATAACAAAATGTTTATCAAAAATACATGAGTCAATATTGTGAAACAGTGTGTAACATGTAACTACCTAAGTTTTGAGGGACTGGAAGAAGAGGTGAGTACAATAGATCAGGATGGTGATGATTTGGGACATCTTAGAGAAAACAGTATGCTGATAGTTACTTGGGCACCTATGAAGTTCTGACTTTTTGAGTTTTAAAAATTATTAGTGCAATTCTCTCTTGCTCTAAGTTCCTCTCTTGGGCTCTAGTTTCTTCTTCCTTTCCCATTTTGCAAAACTTGGTGCAGACCACTTGTTTGCTCTGTGCTACGCCTGGGTTCCCTTAAATGCCAAAAAATGATTTCCCTTTGGCAGCAGCAGCAGCTGCCTACCGGGCCTGTAGCCAAGGCATGTTCTGAAATGGAGTCCTCCTGGACAGAGTTGTTTACAACCTTTCACCTTATAGCCTGGTATTCTGATAAAAATGGGCCTTCTGATTCTTCTTTCTCAGTTCTTGGGTCAAAGGAAGAAAAAAGTCTTGTAAGCCGTTGTCCTGAAAACAGAGCACAAACGCCCGTGGAGTGCAGGGGAGAAAGAGGGCAGGTCCAATAGAAATAGCAGAGGGCGAAGTCCAGGAGCCTTGAAAATTAGATCACCTTTATCTGCTCTTCTCCACCCTCTTCAATCCCAGTGGCAATGGGAAACCCAGTGGTGATTGTTGTTTGCTTTACTGGAGGTGGTTGAGTAAAGCCAGAGCTTTCAGGGAGGGAAGTGCCTTCAGCACTGTTGCCGGTCAGAGACAGGGAGCTAGCGGCAGACCTCTGGCCTGCGGAGCGTTTAGGATGCCAAGGACTCAAGGCTCCTAATAACCCCTTTCTTTGTCCTTTTAATCTTTACCGTCATCGCCACTCTGTAAACTTCCCCTTTACTCTTGTCACCAGGTTCCATTTTTCCCTAGGGAATATGATTTTAGAGAAAAATAAAGGTCTGAAAGGCAGTGTGGAATTTGAGACCGACCAACTTTGTGTATGCCTCCAAGTCATGGATAAATAAGAACTTAGAGTTCAAAGTGACTTTTTTGCTATTTATCAAACACTTACACAGGTCCTTTACATAATTATCTCAATAGTATTTTATTTATAGGTTCATCTGCCATCTTGTTCCAGAAAGGATTTAAGGTTAAATTAATTCGTTTAATTCTCACAATAACCCCGTGACTCAGGGTTGGGTTGGTTAAGTCAGGCTCAGAGGGTTAAGTAATTTGCCTGCAGTCACAGATTTTGCAAATAGAGCAAGATCTTGAACCCAGGTCTGTCTGATTTAAAGTACATACTATTTGTAATATATTGTCATGCCACTCAATGCTTTAACATTTGGTATCTTGTTCGATCTTCATTGTAAAGGATTCAGAGCAAGACTCATAAAATTTTAGAGTTAAAGGGGATTCTAGTAGTCTTTTAAAAAAAATGTATTCTCTTATTTTAGTTAAGTGACTTACTCTAGGACATGCAGCTAGTAACTGGTGCAGCCACTTTCCAAACCCAAAATTCTTAATACTTCATCTAGAGTTCCTTATCTCTGGTTTGCTTTGTGAGAGTTCTTTTTTTTTAGTTTAGCTTTAATTGCTAAAAATAGTTCATCTGAACAGATTGGTAAGTGCCAGGAGTAAGGGGTGGACAAAACGGGTGAAAGGAGTCAAAATGTACAAAACTTCCAGATGTAAATAAAGAAGTCATGGGGATGTCATGTACAGCATGGTGGCTATAGTTAAAAATACTATACTGCATATATGAAAGTTGCTAAGAGAGTAGATTTTAAAAGTTCTCATTACAAGAAAAAAATTCTGTAACTATGAATGGTAGCAGTTGTTAACTGGACTTATTGTGGTGATCATTTCTCAATATATTCAAATATTGAATCATATGGTACACTTAAAACTAATACAATGTTGTATGTCAATTATACCTCAATTTTAAAAAGAACCACATCAGGAAGCCCATATTTCATGTTTGTTGGGGTCTGTTTTTCTACTATGTTGAAGAAAGAATGGAGTTCCAGGAGTTGCCCAATTTAGAGAAAGATGGGGAGAGGAGGTAAATTAATTTGTTCTGAACTCTTGTAGACTCATTTAAGATATTTCTTTTACAAAAATTACTTATTTTATTGAAGTACCATCAGTTACAACATGTCAGTTTCTGGTGTACAATGTCCTAGTCATGCACATACATACATATATTCGTTTTCATATTCTTTTTCATTAAAGGTTATTATAAGATATTGAACATAGTTCCTGTGCTATACAGCAGAAAAAATTTTTTAAATCTATTTTTATATATAGTGCTAACATTTGTAAATCTCAAACTCCCAAATTTATCCGTTCCCACCCCTTTCCCCTGGTAACCATAAGATTGTTTACTCTGTCTACAAGTCTTTGTTTTGTAGGTAAGTTCAGTGTCCTTTTTTTCTTTTCTTTTTCTAGATTCCACATATGTAAGATATTTCTTAAAGTTGCTTTATTATATAAAACATTTATTTCCCTTCTCATGCTATCGCCCCATATGTTTCCTTTACTGTGAAGTTTCTTAAAATGATAAGAAATACCAACTTTTTCTTTCGACTAAACTCGCCCCTTTGTAGTCTGGCTTCTGCTATCACTGAAATAGTTTCCTTTAAGGTTTCCAGAGGAATCCAGAGTGATGTTTTAAGCCTTATTCCCTTGACTCCTGTATAATTTGAAAACTGCCATCTTCTTAAAATGTAAATATCTATCTTGACTTTTGGACTTTATCCTGTTCTCCCTTGCTGCGTTTTTCTCTACCCCCTGAAAGCTTTTCTCAGGGGCTTGTCCTTGGCTCTCTCCTTTTCTTTCTTTAAGCTTTGCTGTTCAGTTTGACTGTCTGCACATCATTTGTGGACAATCTCCAGCCTGTCTCCAGAGCTCCAGCTGACATCTCAGATTCAACTTGTCCAGGGTGGAGTTCAGAACCTTCCCCCTGAGGTCAAACTCAGTTCTCCTTGTTTCTTTTAATAGGACCATTATATATTCCCTCACTTTCAAGGCATAAAATCCAGGAAATGCCTTTCCGTTCCTCCTTTCTGACATTCCCCACATCCAATCAATTGCTAGATTCTGTGGAGGCCATCTTTCCAGTGTTTCTAGAATCTCTTATTATTCCACTGCCACCACTCTGGTTCATGTCCCTGTTACTTTTGCCTAGATTATTTTAATAGCTTTTAACTGATCTTTCTGCTATAATCTATAGACCACAACTAGAATAATCTAACACAATTAAGTTCTGTCTGTTCCCGTGATGTTCCCAAACCCATTGCTTACTGAATCAAATTCAAGTGCTTCCACGTAGCATTTAATGCCGTCACATATTGAAGCCAAACTTTCCAGTCTCGTTTCCCACTGTGTCCTCAAATATGTACCCTACACCTCCGCCAAGCCTGAGTACTCAGTGTTCCCCTGATGTGTACTTCTCTGCCTTTGCTTAGCTTTTGTCTGTCTGGAATGCCTGACTTTCCTCCCCGACTCTGCGTTTTGAAATCCTTCCCACTCTTCAGTAGACAGCCAAGTGTCTTTTCTGCTATGAAAGCTTTCTTGATTCCTAATCCCCTCATCTCTTACCTTGCAGCCAAACAGGATTTCATTTTCTTCTGAATACTCCATTGCATGTTTATGGTTCTCACATGGAACTTACTTGTAAATTTCCTTTTCTCGCCTATGTAATGAATTCCTAGAGAGCAAGAATTGTGTCCTTTTTAATCTTTGAATCCTTCGTAGCATCTGGTAGAGTACATTTTGTAGAGAAAATAGGTTATTAAATACAAATTGAATTGGTAGATTGGAATATGTTTCTGGAGAAGAATATGTCACTAATTCAGAACTAGTATTATATCTTTTTTTTAAAAAAGTTTATTTTGAAAGATTTT